AGCACGGGTATGGGGCTGACAAACCTAGAACCATAATCAGGGCGAACCGGGATTCGAACCCACAATCATAAGTTTCTGGCGTGCCCAAGGGACGCAACTCTGCACAGTGAATCGTGGCGCCTTAGACAACTGGACCAGCCGTGCCCCTAGTACAGGTGTTAAGTGTCTTATGTGCTGCCATTTTCTGCCAAGTCACCTCCTGTGACCTTCACCTATTTATTCTTTGATTTAAAGATCATTTATTAAACAGTAAGGTAAAAAAATGTAAACATGATAAATATCGAGTTATATCTTAAATCAGGATTTGATTTCACAGAATTCAGTCATAAAAGACTCTTTCCAACTGAGTATTTTCTCCTACTACACAATAAGATAAGCTGCTACCTACCTAGTTACATGCTGCACTTCTAAGACACAATGCCTGAGCATCATTGGTTCTTTAGATAACAACTATAGGTGGGTACATACTGCAACAAATGCTTTGTTCTTCAGATTTCATTTCAAAAGATGAACTTAGGGAATTTTGTCATCATTGAATCCAAATCACGATTGCCTTTTTCATGTACTGGATCATGTCAGAGGTCAAATTTGCAAGTGCTAGAAGGAAACGGTATATCTTAGACACATGAACATGTCTGATAATTTTCATAACAATATGTCAAATATTGCATAACTTTGAATTTGGTTTATCCAGTGGGACAAAAAAGTGTTTATCATACGTCATCCCTTGGCAACCGTAAACTCCTGCTTAACAACGTATAATTGTAGTTTTTACTTAATTTTCTTGTTTCATCTGAACTTTAGCATTTTGGTTTTTTTAATCTGATTTCAAAGAAAGCACCACTGTAGTGAGATAAAACATCATTCAAATAAGAAACCCCTACCTTCACATAATGAAAAACGTTTTTGATAAAATGAGGCACTAATTTCAAATTGTCACTGGAACAGATGTAATAATTTGATGTGACCTAGTACAAACTAAACTGACTACATCCATACGGGAAGCAAATACAAACATATATATGGAAACTCAAGGTCCTGCTGCTGCCATTATCTGAGTATGTCTATCATGTATCTTGTATCACATGTAGGAATATCAACAAGGATAGACAAGCTGTGTTGGACAGACTAGCTATTGTCATGGTTTGGGCCTAACAGTCTACCGGCGCTGCATCAAAATAACTTCAAAACACTCACAATCTTTTACTCTAACTACAACAGTTTGTAGAAAGTTTCAATCAAAAAATGAAAAAAAAAATACTATCCCTATGAATTAGTATAATTTAATCTACAATTAACCTCTCATTCTAGTGGTTGTGTTTTCATGACTTAACCATTTACAGAATAACCTACAAAATACGAAAAATAACAAACTACATGTATCTGAGTGAATTCATTTTGTTCGCAGCCTTAAGTCCATAATTTATGCAAGATCTTAAGACCAGTATAATTTTCTTAAACATTTCAAAAGTATAAAAATAGAAAATAGATTTCAAAAACCTGTTTGCAAGTGTTTCAGGCAAACTAAGCAACGAACTGAACAAAAGCTGACCAACTGTTTCTGCACTACACTTTTTTGTAATTTCCTTCAAATCAACATTTGACATTTTCATCCATTTTCCATTGTGCCTCCTGAAGCTTAGCATATTTGCCTAGGTAATCTGTAAATCGAGGAAATCTAACTGTAAAGGTAACCAAATATTGTTGGCTTAACTGTACAAAGTAACAGACAATAAAACAATTAAATGAATAAATTGATTCAGAAAATACATCAGTCTTCAAATTGCTATCTGTCATCTTATCACTTCATCAGTTTTGTTATCTCCTGAAAATTCTTGTTTCATTTAGACAGACTGAAAAGAAGCATGATTCCGTGTTTAACACGAGACATGCTGTTTCCGTGATCGATAGGCTACTTAACTCGTGTTTACCCATCCCACACGACAACACCCAGATAAAGACTGTGTGTTGACAAACGACTCGAGCTGTCCCTGGATATGTGCTCAGTGGCATGTCCTGCAGGTCTATCTTACTACTCAGGCCTAATGCACAACACACTACATATGTATTATTTACATGCGTTTTAACATTTTTTAAACATTTCTTTTTGATTTGGAAATTGTGATGGTTAGAATGAAAATTCTCTCTATTGTAGAAAATGATTGAGATAATGTCCTGGGTTAAATGTTGATGATATGAAGAGAATGATCAGGTCCTGAGATGGCAACAGGATAGATTTCAACACTTTAGCCTTAAATCCTTCAATTCAGTGTTTTCAGTATGCACTGGTACAATCTCATTAAAATCAGATCTTAGTTCTCGCTACCGCTGAACAAAGATCGAAGGACATCCATATAAGGGGTCAGGTCAGACCGACCTTGCATGGACTTGGATGATCAATGGAACGTCTGACAAGAAGTCGACATTAGCCAATCAGAAGGCAGCTTTCTCATGCTTGACTGCACTAATTTCAATTTGGCGACTAAGCTTCGAAACATATTTTGACAAATTCTCGATAAAAAATTGAAACCTGAACAAAAGAACAATCTGGAATGGGTAACTGATGGTCCAGATTGTATGGATTCAGTCGTTAAGCCCGTAACTATCGTACGGAATACCCAGTGTTAAAGTTTTCGAGGTTGCATGATCACATTCCAAATCACATTCCAACTGTCACTTTTATGATCTGGTAAGTGACGCTCTGATCGGTCGGGTGAAAGGTCGTTCTGCCATGACCCCTAATGGGATGTCCTCAGATCTTTTTTTAGCGGTAGCTAGAACTAAGATCTGTTTTTAATGAGATTGGCACTGGTATGCATGCATACTTGTACCCGACTGAAAATGTAAGAATAGAATGAATAAAAATATTGAAATCCATAGTCAATCTTGCTTCAGCTTTTAAATCACAACTCAGGATACTGTTTTAGAAATACTGAAACCCATTATCGCCAGGGGTCACCAAGAATGGACAGCACCAATTGAACCAATCTGAAAACTGAACCCAGGATGTCACTGTGACACTGAAGTACTGTCACTAAAGATATTTACAAATCCCCACAAATACAACCATTTTAGGTAAATCTGCACCATGTCTTAGAAAGAAAATAATCTGTTCCTTTCTTTCTTTCCGAGTCAACACATGAAAGATGCATGAGTTTCTTGCATCCCTGACACCATATAAGCCTTATTTGGTAGAGAAAATAATGAGACTAACTATAAAAAAAATATTCAAACCAGAGCTGTACAATCATAAGATCGGCTCAACATAATATTGAAAGTTATGTACATTGTGAAACCCTAATGGTACATCATATGTAGGTCAATATACGTTCCTAAAAAACAAATCGGGTATTAAGTGATTAGAAGAGAAACAGAGGCAGAGCCATTCATACAGAATTCACACAAAACGGTCTTAGGGTATATTTCCCTACTGACATAGGTGCGATAATGATTAATAGGGTTTAACGTCACGTTCAAGATTATTGCACTTACATATTGATGTGCATGAGTGTGTACGTGTGTGTGGCTGCTTGTACTAGTCCAGACTAATGCCGGTTTTATAGTACTATCCCACTGACATACCATGCTACAGTTTAACACAGTATACTGACTCTGAGCCGACCAGTCCTTGTTAAGCCCCTTGATGCCAAGCACCAGACAGGGTAACAACAAGTACTATCTTTTAACGTCTTTTAGTATGACATTGCCAGGACTAAACCACAGACCTTCCGCTCTCCGGGCAGACGCTAGACACTAGACCACGGAGGTGGTCCCATACTTACAAAGACATGAAATAGTGATAGTGCTAAGATTGGGCCAAGGCTGGGATGATACTATGCTACATATCACGATAGTGAGGTCACGATACAATACGTACCATGATACAAAAAGATTGTAACAAGCTGACAAAAGAAGAAATAATAGCAAGAATAATGTAAACAAGAATATTTTTGTCCCGCGTCCATGAATTGAAATTTAACAAAAATAGTGTGAAGCACTTAAATTTGCTGTGCACAGCCACAATGTGTAAAATACTTAAAACTTTGTATCATATCGATACATCAACCTTTGATACAATAATCCATCGAAACTTGATCATGTTGATGCATCCTGATGCATCAACCTATCCGTGAAAGGTCCCACCCCTAATAATACATCATACAACCCCTACTTAAAGCCTTACACAAAAAAGCATTTCTTAAGCATCTAGTGCAATAAATAAAGGCTTACATGAAGCTGCATCCTCAGAGAAATTACACTGTTACCTTTCAACAAAGCTTTAATTACACAGTAACCGATATATATAATCAACAATGGTAGTGGATTGAGTGAGTTGGGTTTAACACGCTTTTAACAGTACAGTAAACTGCGTTTATAATGAACACGCTTATAACAAACTGACCGATATAACAAACTTATGTTTTAGTCCCGTCCATTTACTGTTTGCTAATATGCTTTATACTTAAAACGAACTACGGTTATTACGAACTAAAAATTTGTGGTTCCTTCGAGTTTGTTGTAACCGTTGTTTACTGTATTCCAGTTATAAAAGGCATGTCAGCTTAGTGTAGGAGGAGAATGGGCTTCACTTATTGAGCTTGTGTGGACATTAATCTAATTGTAAACTAGACCTTATTTTCAAAATTGAAATATCGAAGGTTGTATATTAGCAGATTGAAATGCAATCTCTGGTATACCAAAAAAACCAATGATGTTGCATTTTTTTCAGGAAAATATACAGACAAAAACACACAAGGGAACACATTAATACCAATGGTAACTAATGGTCACGACTCTTAAGAATTGTGTAATAATGAAACATTACATAAAAAATTACATTACATTACATTACATTACATGAGTGAGTGAGTTTAACGCTCTTTGAACAGTATTCCAGTTATATCACGGCATGTCAGCTTAATGTGGGAGGAAAGCCCGAAGTGATGCAGGTCTCAGACGTTTACCACTTCGGTGAAACCCACGAGCACGGGTATGGTGCTGACAAACCTAGAAACATAATCGGGGCGAACCGGGATTCGAACCCACAATCATAGGTTTCTGGCATGCCCAGGGGACACAACTCTGCACAGCGAATCGCGGCGCCTTAGACGACTGGGCCACCCGTGCCCCCCAGATGAAAACAGTCCTATTTCAGGGTCTCATAGGGGTGCAGGGTCCCTACATAATCCGATGAGAAGATACGGCACGACATGGCACATAGTATTAATAGGTATGTTTGTGTCTGTATGTAAAATTCACAAAGTTATTAGACATCAACAGTTGTCATAAAAGCATAGAACTGTTGGTAGGCATCGTAATTCTGTTTGAAATTCAAGGCATTTATATGTTAACTTGTTGGTAAGTAAAACATCCTCCCTTATAGTACAACACAGACAGTGCCCATTTAATTATAACTAGTCATGTAACTAGACTTACTAACAACTAAACTCTGAAACATGGAATTACTAACCCCCTGTAGCACCACAGAGTGCCATTCATCACAAATCAAACTAAAATGGTAAATGTTTTAAAGGAAATATCTAACAGAACTTCCCCCATCAATCTAAAGAACCCACTTTTCTTAATTTTAGTGACATTTATCACAGTCTGAATACTCTACACAGCAGAATCATTAGCATAGCAAGAGACAGGGACTCACTGAGAACTTCCTTTGGCAAACAACTGTAACAGCACACAACGGCATTCAACACAAACAGTAACAATCAATATATATATGTGTATATACAAAACAAGGCAGACATGTATACCTAAACCTATGACATGCCACGCATGCCACCAACAATGGCTACATGATTTGGTCAAAAGCTTCTGGTCCTCATCAATAAATAGACCTGAAACTTGATGCACAACCTCACATAATGGTATATCCTTTATTAAAATCATTACACTGGCTTCCAATAAGATCTAGGATTGAATACAAAGTCGTGTGCATTGCATTCCAGTACTACTATAGTACAGCACCTTCCTATCTGAGTGAACTTCTTACCCTACACCAGCCAGCACGAGATCTCAGATCAGCACATAAACTCCAGTTTAGTGTCCCTATGGTCTCACTCAAAGCATTCAGCAACAGAACTTTTGCTCACACTGCATCTGTGCTCTGGAATTCCCTTCCAGTGGAAATTAGGCAATCTCCAACTCTGGACACTTTCAAGACAAAACTAAAGACTTATCTCTTTAGATGTGTCTATGACCCTGTGTGCGGCGCTATGAGCGACTACGTAGACGGAAATGGCGCTGAAGAAATGGACTTTATTATTATTATTATCTATTAGTCCTGTATCGTCACTGTTTCACAGGCTTGTTTACACATGTTTCTCCATCCCCCGTGCATAGGTCTCTGTGGATGTAGCAGCTGTAACCCACAAATCAAGGAACGTCCTGGTTCCAGTGAAATGGAAACCTGCAAGTTCTCAGACAAGTATTTGCACAAGATTGGCTGCCATCAACCCTACACATTGCTTCAATATCAGACAAGGTTGGTACAAGTTTCATGCATGGAGTTAGGCTCCATTTGACATTGGTGAGTATAGTATCACTTTGATAGCTTATCAAAACTAGACACATGTCACTATTACACCACAAAGTGTACATGTGTATTCACAGGTGATGGAAGATATAGTGTAAACAAACCCATGAAGTAATGACTATGTTTGTCATGGCCTACAAGGGTTTAAATTTGCATTGCCTGATGCCCAAATATATTCCCCTTACAAGCGAGTTCATCACTGGTTCTTGCTCAATTATCCAAGTTTCAACTGTGACAACAATGTTGAACATTTTTTATATTAAATGAGTGAGTGAGTGAGTCAGGTTTAGAGCCGATTTAACAGTATTCCAGTTATATCACAGCGTGTCAGTTTAATGTGAGAAAGCCTGAAGTGATGCAGGTCTTAGACGTTTACCACTTTGGTGAAACTCACGAAGAAGGGTATGGTGCTGAGAAACCTAGAAACATCATCTGTGCAAACTGGTATTCTTTACATTACAATAATCCCTCTTAATCTATATTTGGTCTCGTTGTCGGTGAAATACACATCACCTCCACAAAACTATAACATTAGTCATACCTACAATAAATTGAGAAACTATATTTCCAATTTTGGAACTTTTACTGACTTTGGCTTCAGACTTGGGGTCAAATATCGGCCCCTGAGCAGGTCTAGATAAATCCTTGTACCATGCCCAATTCACACATTTCTATCAATCCTTACAGGCATATGTGGAAATCATTCACCCTGTTAACATTTTCACATAACAGCATAATTAACATTACAGTCAAGTCCCGTTAATCTGTCATGGTTGGTTGCATATAATTATGTCGGATTAACGAGTATGTAAACGAAATAAAGTAGTATCAACGTTCGTTAAAAACAAGGTCTGGAATGGAAGTTACAAGTTTGAAACTGGTACCGCAAAGCTTAAGACTCATATCGCATCAAAACACGGGGCTGTGTACTCGCGGGCAGATGACGAACGCTAATCACTGTGTCAGATTAACGAGACTGATTAATGAGTGATTTCATTAATTCGTTGCAAATTAGGTGTGTTGGAGTCGGAGTGGGAGACTGTCGGGTTAAAGGGTCTAAATAACACTGATTTAATTGGTTCCAATCATTAATGTCAGATAAAGCCGATTGTCGGATTAACGAGTGTCGGATCAACGAGACTTGACTGTATTAAACTTTCAAAATATTTCAACCACATATTTAAACGTTTACCTCAAAGATAACAATAAAACATCACAATACCAACATGTTAGCGTGCCCTATTTTTCCTATGCGTATTGCCCTCAATTTCTACCTTTGATGACCTTCCATTGATGATGTCATACAGTACTCTGATGTCAGGCGACGAGGTTACATGGTTTAGATATTCCCCTATGGGTATGAACACTGAAGAAGACATATGGCTATAGTTAGTCATAGTAAAAAATAGGGTGCTCCTTAACATCTTTTGAGTAGTATACTTCAGTAATGGCATTTAATGACACATGCAAACAGAATGTCTAGACAGAACCCAGTCAGGTAATTTGTGTCAGGATAATGGGTAGGCACTTTGGGAATAACAAAAAAATCATGACATTTTGGCAAGAAGGTCAAAATACACTTGCCCTACCTACATTGTTTTTATTAATGGTATATGTTAAGACAAACATACTGTAGTCATAGATGGTGGAACTGTGTCAAAATGTCCATAGATGTGGTCAAAGTGTGCATATCCATTTCAGCCCAACACAAAATATTTATGATTCTCCATCCAAACACATCAACGCTACATAATATTTTTGGATAGCATAAGTTTCAGTTAAAAATGACTGTTTGTGAAACCTAATAATTCTTGGTCTATCATTTGCGACAGTGTAATGTTCTGGTCCCAGCATAACCACGCTGCTTTTCCAGAACGTGATATGTTTTCAATGGTCAGAGAGTTGACAAGATTTCACAACACAGAGCAACACCCTAGGAACCAACTGTTTACACGTATCATCTAATAGCCTATCAAAAATGTACATGCATTAATTTGAGTTGACTACATGTCATTTGACACAAAATGTCACTGCAAGTAACCATGAGTGAGTGAGTGGGGTTTTACGCCGCTTTTAGCAATATTCCAGCAATATCACGGCGGGGGACACCAGAAAAGGGCTTCACACATTGTACCCATGTCGGGAATCGAACCCGGGTCATTGGCGTGACGAGCGAATGCTTTAACCACTAGTTCTACCCGACCGCCCCGTACCCATGAGAGGGGAAACAACCCATAGACTCCACAGGGGTAGATTTAACAACAAATTTGTATGTAGCCAGCAGGGCTTGCTCCTTCTAAAAGTTACTGGCCCTTCTCAAAACTAACTGGCCTAACAAAAGGGTGGAGGCTGCAAAGTGGCTGAACCTGAGGTCACATAGCAACCTAGCGGGGCCTGAAATTCTTTTAGAACTTTTTACCCCTGAAACGCCTTTTCCTGCACTCTGAGATCAAACCTTGGCTTCCATTTGCCTCATTTGTGGTGATTTATAAGCAAATAAAAATGTTGTACCGAGATGATCAACATATATCATTCTTTGAGTTAACCATTTACAAGACCTCATCCCCCCTAAATTGTTTCTCATCAAAATTGCATGATCACGAGTAGTATCAATTCGAAAATATTATACCGTATTTTCTTGAGTATAGTGCACACTTTTTTTCCAAAAAACACAGCTGTGTAGAAGGGGGTGCACATTATACACGAAATAATGAGTTTTGATGGTACATACATGGTGAAATTTTGACTAGTCAGATGAGCTACTACTCTACGTTTTAGCAAGCCCTGTGTAATTTTAACGAGCCAGCAGTTAAATCGACCCCTGCTCCATGTACTGGTGAGTGAGTGAGTGATTGAGTTTGGTTTAACCCTGCTTTGAACAGTATTTCACTTATATGGTTATATAGTTTGATACAGGAGAACAGCCCCAAGTGATGCAGATCCTTAACATAGTCACCTTGGTGAATCCCACAGGCACTGCATGGTGCGGACAAACCTAGAAACAATCAGGGCGAATCTGGGTTTCAATCCCACGATCATAGGATTCTGATATGTCTAAGGGACACAACCCTGCACAGCGAATTGCTGCGCTTTGACAACTGGACATCCCATGCCTCCCCTACTATAATTATTACACATGTGGCAAAATACAACAAGCAAGTACAAGCTTCAAACCCAATAACCACTTGGCTCCCTCCATCACTTGGTAATTGCCTAAATAGCAGGTGCCGGAGTTGTCTCCCCTTGCATATACTGAACATAAAAGATGACTTGATACTAAATATTGACTTCCATGTAGTACAATCAAAAACTAAATACACAAAGAACATTGTTTGGAGTAGCGAGAGAATGTTTTATGCAGCAGCAATATTCCAGGTATATCAGAACACCCTGTAAATAATTTGGACCAGGCACCCAGTGACTGAAAGCGTAAGCAATAATCTATGCCACAGAATAGATGCAGTGCGCCACACAACCTCATCACCTAATCCATCTTGGCAAGATTAGGAAAACTAAAATTAGTTGTAAATATCAACAATAACAACCCTTCAGTACAAAACGATCTTAGAGCAATGATGGATGTATGTCAATGTTAAAGTATGGAATTTAAGATTCTCTTGGGGTAAGCTCTTGTTTTGCAAGTGGGCCCAGGAAACCAAGCATAAAGGCTGTATGGACACTATAGGCATTGAAGTGGCAGGTTGGGAACTGGTCCCAGTCCATCACTGACCATCACAGACCACCATTGACCATCACTGACCATCACAGACCCAGGACTGGCATGATACAAACTCTAATGTGACTTCTGACTGTGACTTCCGACTGTGGCTTCAGTCTGTGACTTCTGACTGTGACTTCCGACTGTGACTTCTGACTGTGACTTCAGTCTGTGACTTCTGCCTGTGACTTCCGACTGTGGCTTCAGTCTGTGACTTCTGCCTGTGGCTGACCTTCTTAGTTTGATTTGCAGCAATAACCCTGTTCCTGTGTTTGCCCTGAATATCTTCTTTGTACAAAACATATCACACTTTGGTCACATCATTAACAGCCATGCTGCATAATAAATCGTGTTTGTTACATTAACATATTCATGCTTGCATAGAAACCCTGCTGGTCTGGACCTTGTTAATCCAGGAACCACCCTTCCAGATGGTATCTGGTAGAAACAGCTACACACAAACACGGAACATCCATACCTAAGATTCCTCCATCCAGAGTTTGCTAATCCAGACAATATCCCAGGGAAGTGTACCATCAGATTCAGTTGGCTCAAACGACTCTGAACAGCATTTCAGTTACATGTGTCACTGAAGAACCGAACTGATGTCTTCGTCTTCATAGATGCTTACTTCTTTGGTGGAACCTGTGAGAACAGGGATGGTTGACAAACCAAGGATGATAAAGGAATCTTGGATTCAAACTCACAATCACTGGATTCTGACACACCTAAGCGGCACAACTCTTCATAGCAACTAGACTTCCAATATCCAGATAAACAGGGTTTCGCTGTTCACAATGTAGTTTGTCCTTGAGGTACATCTAATGACAAATCATGGAATCCCCATCATGTCCAGCAGCGTGTTGATCTTGGTGTTGAGCCAGTTGGTCTGCTTCTTGCGTAGCCCATGAATCCAGTCAGCAGGCAGGTGGGAGTAGCCCAGCCTCGCCCCCAACACCGCCCCCGCCACGCACGTGTTGCTGTTGCTGTCACCGGCCTCGTGAATCAGCTTCATCACAAACTCCCTAAATAGAAAAGTTCAATATATTATAGCTATGTTTAGGACTTATGCATTAACCTTATTGAATGTGAATCATGATGTGTTAAATCCTGATTAATCATTAAGAAATATACATGAAAATTGCAAAAATAAGGAAGGGTTTTCACATGAATTTGCTGGTATGACACAATGACCAGCATATAAATAGATATTCAATTCTGGAACTTGAGATGTCAAAGCAAAAAGGGTAATTTCGGAATGGTGTTTGGTTGTGAAAATGTTAAAAAATGCCACAAATACAACTACAATATAAATACCAAAAGGAGGACACATCATTTGGAATATTACTTAAGATGGGAGAGTTTACATTTGCTGGGATACCATACACAAAGATATTCAGCTTCCGAAACCCAACAAGAGATGTCCAGAATGAATAAACACTACATAAACAGGGCATGAGGCCACATTTAAAATTAAAATAATAAAAGAAGCTTTTTAAAGAGACAGCTGAGCAAATGTCATAAAAATAAATTTTCAACACAATGTCTAACAGAATCCTTGGTACATCCTTTAGACACACAGATGGGATCAGCCAAGTAAAGTTCCAGATTCTCTAGCTTGTTTAACAGGTAATGTAAAAAATGAAAGAGTTTATGACGGATGGAGAAACCGAGAGCCCATTTGAATTTTCAGTCCATCTAACAGGTGGCATAAAATTGAATATTCTTTATAGTGGACACTAGCTTTCCTATACAGTGGGTGGGTGGCTTTGGAAGGGCAAGCGAGTGAACAGTGCACGAAATATCTTGAAATAGACTTTCAATGACTGTCTTGGTGTAAATCCAGATACCGTATTCCACATAATAATCGCCCAGGGCGCTCTTAAAATTAGAAATAGGGGGCTCTTATAAGAATATTTTTTTTGTGAAAAAAAAACAGTTGAAAGATTGTTAATTTCATGGGATAGCTCAAATATTGATCATAAAACAACATTCTCTCACACTCAATTACCTGTAACTGTCTTGTGTTTGGAGAGCTAGAACAGCTGCTGCTAGAGGCTTGTAGGTGTGGCTCATTCTGTTCGTCTCATTTGTCTTCAGGCTGCAAGAGGTCACAGAGAGATATTAACCCATAACTACAAAATTCTACTGTCCCTGAGAATACTTCCATCATTAAATTTGAGCATGCTTGCTGAAACTGAAACTGAATTAGGAATATTCCAGAAATATTAGGACCAGGGACACCATAAATGGGTTTTACATAATGTAGCCATGTGGGGAGCCACACCCGGGACATCAGTGGCTGTTTTAATGAGTTGGCTGCTCTAACAATAAGTCGTGAGTGAGTGAATGAGTTGGGTTTAACGCCGCTTTTAACAGTATTCCAGTCATATCACGGCGTGTCAGCTTAATGTGGGAGGAAAACCCAAAGTGATGCAGGTCTCAGAGGTTTACCACTTCGGTGAAACCCACGGGTATGGTGATGACAAACCTAGAAACTTAATCGGGGCGAACCGGGATTCGAACCCACAGTCATAGGTTTCTGGTGTGCCCAAGGGACGGAACTCTGCACAGCTTATAGCGGCGCCTTAGACGACTGGGCCACCCGTGCCCCCAGTAATATGTAGTTATTATACTATACATTTATATACCACAGGTATCCAGGTCCTAGTATCTGCTCAAATGTGGTTTTATTTGACCAGTGGATCCGTTTGCATTCCAGTTATCATTCTTAACTCCCTGGGGAGTATACAACCCAAGCTGTCTACGGGTGCAAGAGGGTTTTTACATGTACCGCACATATCGGGTCCCACAGCGGTAGAAACTAACAGTTTCAGTCCACTAGTCCTAATAATGATAACACACAGCAAAACCTTTAAAAATGGCAAATTTCTACTAGTCCTTAGGATACCTTTACTATTGGGCAGTTTGGCAAGGACTGTAGGACTAGTGCCAATTTCTGTCCCATTCCCTGCTGGGTGAGCAGAGGCACATTTGAACTAAGTCACTTGCCCAGGTTGACATCACATGTTTTGACACTTGAGTTTCAGGTGTATGCACGTATTGGGGTTTCCACCATCTGGTCATCTACCATCGGACGAGTGGGTTCTTTTGAGTGTACAGGGTGTATGTACTGTACACTAGGGGTAGTGACAACACTGTAAAGACCTGTAAACATGGTTGTCCCAAGGCTGAATAACAACCTGGTCACTAGCGGGATACGATCTCAGCACCTGGCACTTGCTATCCTGCCGCCTTGACCGCTTGCCCACTCCGCCCCTAAATGACCTTAATCCCAGTTGGCAGACAGTTCAAATGAAAATGATCACAGTTGCAAAAGTGTGACTGTTAGTAGAATGGCATCTTAATCAGTCATGCATCATCGCCGCATTTAACAGTATTCCAGTTATATCACGGCGTGACAGCTTAATGTCGGAGGAAAGCCCGAATTGATGCAGGTCTCAGACGTTTACCACTTCGGTGAAACCCACGAGCACAAGTATGGTGCTGACAAACCTAGAAACATAATCAGGGCGAACCGGGATTCGAACCCACAATCATAGGTTTCTGGCGTGCCCAAAGGACGCAACTCTGCACAGCGAATCGCGGCGCCTTAGACGACTGGTCCACCCGTGCCCCCTTATAGCCTTAAGAAATACATGTACACATCTTTAAAAAAAAATAACCCATAAATCTACCGCCCTGATTTCATTACAACTTGTTAATAAAACATGATTTATAAAAAACGTTTTAAGTTTTAAGTTTCTTAACATAATACTCATTAATGCCATTCAGTCAATATATATGTCATAAGTGGTTGCCCTGTATTCCATTTAGCTAAATACTATATCAGATCCTTGGCACCCTACAAAATAATACTGTCCAAATAACACTGTGCTTGTGTACACTATAACCAAGTCATATCAATTGATAACGGGTAAGCTGCTTACTGCTATGAATTATTCACTATGCACCTTAACTTAATTGTGTTTCTATGTATGTGAGAAATCAGTGTAGAGTTTCCCGGCTGCAGGGACGAAGACTAACACAGTAACAGAGCTAATCCTCCTTCTGTCACAGGCCATCAGGAATTGGACACTTCCTGCAGCATAGGCCTCTACCCTTGAGTGAAAAGTAAACAATACTCCAAATATATGGACGGACAAAAATGCATGCAAACATGAAGTCACTGGATCAAAGAAACATTAAAATACCAGGGACTGTTTACTGTAGGATATGAATAATGTTAGATGTAAAAACAGACCATGGTTCTCCTACAACAAATAAATCATGAAAACAATGCAAATAGTACTTAGTACATTCACATTTTTTTTCATCATTATAAAACAAACATAGGCTTTACCTATTTCTCAGCTGGATAAATACAGGACATTTCAGACATATTTCTTCTCCATTTCTTCAACATTGTCTAAATACCTGAGTGAGTGAGTGAGTGAGTGAGTGAGTGAGTGAGTGAGTGAGTGAGTGAGTGAGTGAGTGAGTGAGTGAGTGAGTGAGTGAGTGAGTGAGTGAGTGAGTGAGTGAGTGAGTGAGTGAGTGAGTGAGTGAGTGAGTGAGTGAGTGAGTGAGTGAGTGAGTGAGTGAGTGAGTGAGTGAGTGAGTGAGTGAGTGAGTGAGTGAGTGAGTGAGTGAGTGAGTGAGTGAGTGAGTGAGTGAGTGAGTGAGTGAGTGAGTGAGTGAGTGAGTGAGTGAGTGAGTGAGTGAGTGAGTGAGTGAGTGAGTGAGTGAGTGAGTGAGTGAGTGAGTGAGTGAGTGAGTGAGTGAGTGAGTGAGTGAGTGAGTGAGTGAGTGAGTGAGTGAGTGAGTGAGTGAGTGAGTGAGTGAGTGAGTGAGTGAGTGAGTGAGTGAGTGAGTGAGTGAGTGAGTGAGTGAGTGAGTGAGTGAGTGAGTGAGTGAGTGTGGTTTTATACCGCTTTTAGCAATATTCCTGCAATATCATGGCAGGGGACACCAGCTTTTAACTTGTAGTTCAACTCCAAGCATGGCTGTGGCCACCTAGCACAGTGGATAACCGTGAAACAGTGCCACAGACATAATGATAGAGACATTAAAACCAATGAACGATGTCTGAATGATGTCACTGATTTCATGTTGTTGTCCACAGTTATCTTTGGGTTAATCACTAACTAAGTAATCTGTGATGTTAATTTGTTGAGTGATTGAGTATGGTTTTATGCCACTTTTAGCAATATTCCAGCAATACATGGGGACATCAGAAATGGGCTTCACCCATTGTACCCATGTGGGGAATCGAACCCCGGTCTTGGGCGTGACGAGCAGGCGCTTCAACCACTAGGCTACCCGACCGCCCCTAAAAAAACCAACTGAATGTGGTGGTGACTATTAGGGCTAGTTGTCACTATCATAGGACAAGTAGAAATTTGCCCTCATTTATGGTTTAGGTACATGTTATCATAATAACTAGTGGATTAAAACTGTTAGTTTCTAGTGCTGCAATAGTATTCAACAATGTTCCAGTATTATTGCAATAGTAGTCAACTGTTGCAATAATATTTCAATAGCAGGAAACCAATAAATTTAAGGCTTGATGTTTCTATTAATCAGTGTATCGAAATGAATAAAGTATTGCTGACAGTGTCAAAGTCTGGACTTTTCCTCTCTGTCGCTACTCAAATCAAAGCTAAATAATCTGAAGTTGTCGTAATAACTGCTGATCAACACACAGCAGGTTTGAAATTATATAAAACTACCGATGCATTGCAGTTGTTTGACTTATGATTACCGTATTCAACGTAATATGCGCCCAGCTCTAATAAGCGCCCACAGTGATATTTGCTAATATATTGGCTGGTGAACAATCCCAATTTGCACCCCTTCCGATTGATCAATGTGCACAAGACTTATTTATTTGTGTATAATATACACTCGTGTGTTATATGCACTCTTAATTACGGGCAATTAAATTCTATAAATATATGTTTGTCGTGTATAAAACGCATAGACTTTTCTTTTATATCATTCAGACTGTCAGCATAAACAAGGATATTTACGATCTTTCAACTCTGTTTTTTTTCACCAAAATTATATTCTAATAAGAGCCCCCTATTCCTAATTTTAAAAGCGCCCTGGGTGCTTATTACGTCGAATACGGTATACTACATCAATAGGAATTTAAAAATGCTTTTAACTTGTAGTTCAACTCCAAGCATGGCTGTGGCCACCTAGCACAGTGGATAACCGTGAAACAGTGCCACAGACATAATGATAGAGACATTAAAACCAATGAACGATGTCTGAATGATGTCACTGATTTCATGTTGTTGTCCACAGTTATCTTTGGGTTAATCACTAACTAAGTAATCTGTGATGTTAATTTGTTGAGTGATTGAGTATGGTTTTATGCCACTTTTAGCAATATTCCAGCAATACATGGGGACATCAGAAATGGGCTTCACCCATTGTACCCATGTGGGGAATCGAACCCCGGTCTTGGGCGTGACGAGCAGGCGCTTCAACCACTAGGCTACCCGACCGCCCCTAAAAAAACCAACTGAATGTGGTGGTGACTATTAGGGCTAGTTGTCACTATCATAGGACAAGTAGAAATTTGCCCTCATTTATGGTTTAGGTACATGTTATCATAATAACTAGTGGATTAAAACTGTTAGTTTCTAGTGCTGCAATAGTATTCAACAATGTTCCAGTATTATTGCAATAGTAGTCAACTGTTGCAATAATATTTCAATAGCAGGAAACCAATAAATTTAAGGCTTGATGTTTCTATTAATCAGTGTATCGAAATGAATAAAGTATTGCTGACAGTGTCAAAGTCTGGACTTTTCCTCTCTGTCGCTACTCAAATCAAAGCTAAATAATCTGAAGTTGTCGTAATAACTGCTGATCAACACACAGCAGGTTTGAAATTATATAAAACTACCGATGCATTGCAGTTGTTTGACTTATGATTACCGTATTCAACGTAATATGCGCCCGGCTCTAATAAGCGCCCACAGTGATATTTGCTAATATATTGGCTGGTGAACAATCCCAATTTGCACCCCTTCCGATTGATCAATGTGCACAAGACTTATTTATTTGTGTATAATATACACTCGTGTG